CCCCCCCTATTATATATATATATATATATATATATATATATATATTATACCCTCATTGGGGGCTGAGCCCCTGTAAAATGAAAATCCTAGAATCGCCCCTGCGCGATATATTTCACAAAGTTTGCCTACTCTTCTACTACATACTCGAAAGTGTGTACTTTTTCTTCCCCAAAAGTAGGCAAATTGGGACGCAGCATTTGTCCCGTGCTTCACAGCTACGATGCGCTTGATGTCTCATTGGAGGCGGTGGCTGTCAATCATTTTCACGCAGTGGTGTGGGGCGGTGCTAATGTGGAAGCAACTCACGCGAGTCTTTGAACGTGCATTTTAATCAGGTAAATACTCCTTGGTCATTTCAAACTGTCCAGATAGAAACTATTTCTCAAAAAATGTGTAGCCCCTGATGGCATATTACACACTTAGTTCATAAAGTCCTTTAAATTAAGTCCATCCAATTTTCTCAACACGCACATGGATAAACGAGAAAAAAGTGGTAATTTGTTAGGCTAAATGTAACGTTAGTCATTCAGAAGTAACACATTTAGTTTAAAGCCAATGTTTTGGCACTATGTGCCTCAGACTGATATTATTACATTAATTAATGTCTGCTAGAAATAGTCTAGAAATCTACAACGTGTCCTTAAATTGTATAAACGTTTGTTCAGAGGTTGTTGTTAATCTCGTTCCGGGGTGAGCTGTAACACCAATTGAAGGCATCGTTTTAAATTTTCTGCATAAATTGACTGCGCTTGTTAAATGCATGAATTAATGATGAAATCATTACATTGATTCATTATGGTTTACCCCATACCATCCCCATTTCATTTTATAAAATTAATTCAGTTTGTAAATAAATAGGAAATAACATAGGTTGTTAGCGTATGTTATTTTTTAACACTGACTAGCAACTCTAAAAATATAAGAGCATATGTGTATTTGTCACTGTAACAACTACTGTAAATGTAGTATGTGTAAACACTTGTGTTTTTTTCAGCTAAGACATACCAATATTTCCATTTAACATAATAGGCACTAATTTGAAATGAAAACCTAGCGGAGATGTTAAATCAAACTTAACAAGAAAACCTGCTGCTTCAGATGATACCAGTTTTGTCATTTAACATTGATCTGCATCATCACAAATTAAATTCTAAACCAGACAC